GCTGAACCAATAATAATACACTGGTGTTGTCAGCTGAACCAATAATAATACACTGATGTTGACAGCTGAACCAATAATAATACACTGGTGTTGCCAGCTGAACCAATAATAATACACTGATGTTGACAGCTGAACCAATGATAATATACTGGTATTGCCAGCTGAACCAATAATAATACACTGGTGTTGCCAGCTGAACTAATAATAATAATACACTGGTGTTGCCAGCTGAACTAATAATAATAATACACTGGTGTTGCCAGCTGAACTAATAATAATAATACACTGGTGTTGCCAGCTGAACCAATAATAATACACTGATGTTGACAGCTGAACCAATGATAATACAGTGATTTTGCCAGCTGAACCAATGATAATATACTGGTATTACCAGCCAAACCAATAATAATACACTGATGTTGACAGCTGAACCAATAATAATACAGCTTGTTAGTTGGTATATGTAAACATGAACTAAAGCAAACCAAAAACATGACTATACAGTAACAACAAAAGAAACTTATACAGCCACATGATCTTACATGCTTTCCAAGACTATTGAAAGGATTATTTAAATGTTTTTGAGAAAATTGTTAAGTCATCTATTTTACTACCTTCATTAAGTTTTTAGTAATATTTTATACTCCCAATAACAACTGAGAAATTTGATCAAACTCTTTATATTGGATTGATTTATTATATTTTATTGAAGAAAGGCCCTATAAACCATATATCATTAGATTCAGTGTGAAAAAAATTCCCTTCTCAAAGTATGCTCATACGGTCCATCCGGATAAAACGGTGGGTGTACAAAGTATGATATGCAAGAAGTTTACAAAATAACAGAAATGTTTACAATAAAAAGTAAAATGGAACAATTACCTAGTATAACTTCTGGTGCACGGTAATGGCGCGTTGACACAATGGTACTGTGATGTTCGTCTTCAAAGGTGGCAGACCCAAAATCAATGAGTTTGATATCAGTTGAACGAACCCTCCTAACCTCGCGATTCTAAAAAAAAATGTGTAATTAGTTATTTCACAGGAAGAAAAAAACACTCTTTCAATTATGATACACTTGATATAAATAAACATAATTTAAATGAAAAAACAAATAAAATTGAGGTTTGTGTCATTTATTTTAAGAAGCATTACAAAGTGTTTGCTTACTTTCTTGGAATTGTAGACAACATCATAGTTGGAGTTAACAAATAGAATGTTCTCTGGCTTTAAGTCTGTGTGAGTCAACTGATTTTCATGCAGAACTATTGGAAAGATAAACACTACACTCGAAGTCTGCAAGATAATCACTGTACACTAAAACTCTTTAAGATAAACACTTTACACTCAAAATGTGCAAAATAACCACTTTACAGTAAAAACCTGAAAGATAACTGTTTTACAATTATAATTACTTTACAGTCAAAACATTTGTGGGAGTCAACCAATTTTGATGTAGATGTATACATAACAATTACAAGCTGACATACTGTAGCTAAAGAAAGACAGAATTCCAACTTTATTTTCAAAATATAAATATATAAAATGTGGAAGCCTGCTCAAAAAAACGTTTTAAAGTTCTTTTAGTGTTAAGTACTAACATGTTTATTCAAGTATAAAGTTCTACGAGAAAAGCTTTCAATAAAAGTTTTCAGATATTCACACAAAGTTACTCAAGGGCTATATAGGCTAGCTGTGCACAAATATGAACTCACAGACTAGTGGAAATACAACTTGTAAAAACACCCACAGCAAACTATCATCTAACCAAGTAGTGGGACTTCCCTGTCACCCTTACAACACACCCACATCCAAAATCAGGAGTGTGACTATTTGTTTATTTTTCTCAGTAAAAGGAAGTGAAGATCTCAAGATCCATACTCTGACACACACACAACCACTGACCCATGCTCAGTTACCTTTCAACAGAATAAACATCTTTATACCAGCTAAGCATTGACCCATGCTCAGTTTCCTTTTAACAGAATAAACATCTTTATACTAGCTAATCACTGACCCGTGCTCAGTTCCCTTTCAACAGAATAAATATCTATATACCAGCTAACCACTGACCCATGCTGAGTTTCCTTTCAACAGAATAAACATATATGCACCAGCTAACCACTGACCCATGCTCAGTTCCCTTTTAACAGAATAAACATCTTTATACTAGCTAATCACTGACCCATGCTCAATTCCCTTTCAACAGAATAAACATCTTTATACTAGCTAATCACTGACCCATGCTCAATTCCCTTTCAACAGAATAAACATCTTTATACTAGCTAAT